CGGAGTGCCCTCTTACATCAGGTGTCCCCATCGGAGTGCCCCCTTACATCAGATGTCCCCATCGGAGTGCCCCTTACATCAGGTGTCCACATCGGAGTGCCCCCTTACATCATATGTCCCCATCGGAGTGCCCCCTTACATCATATGTCCCCATCGGAGTGCCCCCTTACATCAGATGTCTCCATCGGAGTGCCCCCTTGCATCAGATGTCCCCATCGGAGGTCCCCTTTACACCAGATGTCCCCATCAGAGCGCCCCCTTACATGAATTGTTACCTCCTTACATCAACTGTCTGCATCAGACTGGCTCATGGATTAGTGGATGCACTGTCAGAGTCCTGGGAGCTAAAATCTGGGGGGGGGGGAGAGCACAGCCCACTCCAGCACCCACCCCCCCCTTCCCCCAGATCCAGCCCTGGCTGCAGCTGCAAATGCACATCAGTACTCAGGGTGGGTTTGTAGGTGGCGACAACAGTGGACCACACCTGTACAATGTGTATTGAAAGGGCTGTATAGGAGTAACGTGTGACAGGGTGACAACATAGAAGCACAATTTGGAGACAGGGACAGAGTGTTGTCACCCTAAAACAGGAAGTGTCTGATCCCCATGCCAGGGTCACCTGGTATTATTCTAATGAAAGCTGTAGATTATAAAGTATGAATAAATTATTATCATAATGTGAAAATACATTAACGTGTTCAAGTTCATTGGAGATTTTAGTGATTGAGGTTAAAACACCAGTTGGTCCAGGTCATTCTGAATAATACGGAGAAACATATTTCCAAGCAAACCTTTTGCAGGGGAAACATTGAGGGATTCAGCTCTGATCATAGAAAATGGAGTTTCAGCACCCTGGACAGCGGCGGGAGAACTGTGAATGGACAGAGCTCAGTATCCAGCATTTCCTGGAAGAGCCAGTAATGGCGTCCCTCTACACCAGGGGTCTCCAAACTTTCTAAATGAAGGGCCAGTGGGGGAATAGTGCCTTGTCATTGGTACCACTGGGAGGAATAGTACCCTATCGGTGTCAGGTGGAGGAATAGTGCCCCGTCGTTGGTGTCACTTGGAGGAATAGTACCCCATCATTGATGTCAGGTGGATAAATAGTGCCCCAATGTTGGTTTCAGGTGGGGGAATAGTGCCCCATCATTGGTGTCACTGGGAGGAATAGTGCCCGTCGTTGGTGTCATTGGGAGGAATAGTACCCTATCGTTGGTGTCAGGTGGAGGAATAGTGCCCCATTGTTGGTGTCAGGTGGAGGAATAGTGCCCTGTCGTTGGTGTCACTGGGAGGAATAGTACCCTATTGGTGTCAGGTGGAGGAGTAGTGCCCCATTGTTGGTTTCAGGTGGGGGAATAGTGCCCCATCATTGGTGTCACTGGGAGGAATAGTGCCTGTCTGTGTCACTGGGAGGAATAGTGCCCTATCGTTGGTGTCAGGTGGAGGAATAGTGCCCCATTGTTGGTGTCAGGTGGAGGAATAGTGCCCCATTGTTGGTGTCAGGTGGGGGAATAGTGCCCCATTTTTGGTGTCACTGGGAGGAATAGTACCCAATTGGTGGTGTCAGGTGGAGAAATCGTACCCTGTTGCTGGTGTCAGGTGGGTAAATAGTGCCCCATTGTTGGTGTCAGGTGGGGGAATAGTGCCCCATTGTTGGTGTCAGGTGGCAGAATAGTTCCCATTGTTGGTGTCAGGTGGATGAATAGTGCCTCGTCGTTCGTGCCACTGGGAGGAATAGTATCCTATCATTGGTATCAGTGGGAGGAATAGTTCCCCATAATTGGTATCAGTAGGAGGAATAGTGCCCCATCATTGGTGTCAGTGGGAGGAATAGTGCCCCATCATTGGTATCAGTAGGAGGAATAGTGCCCCATCATTGGTGTCAGTGGGAGGAATAGTGTCCCATCATTGGTATCAGTGGGAGGAATAGTGCCCCATCATTGGTATCAGTGGGAGGAATAGTGCCCCATCATTGGTATCAGTGGGAGGAATAGTGTCCCATCATTGGTGTCAGTGGGAGGAATAGTGCCCCATCATTGGTGTCAGTGGGAGGAATAGTGCCCCATCATTGGTATCAGTGGGAGGAATAGTGTCCCATCATTGGTGTCATTGAAAGGAATAGTGCCCCATCATTGGTGTCAGTGGGAGGAATAGTGCCCCATCATTGGTGTCATTGAAAGGAATAGTGCGCTGTTGATGATAGTGGAAGGAACTATGTCCCACTGTTGCTGACAGTGGTGGTAATAATTGCCCAGGGGCCGGATAAAAGCAAGCAAAGGGCCACATTCAGCCCCAGGACCAGAGATTGGAGACCACTGCTCTACACCAGTCTTTTAAGAGTATTATTTAAAGCTGAACTCCATGCAGATATTAAAGGCAAATGAATGCAATTAATGTAATCGATAATACATCATTAAATACATTTTTAAATCAAAGCAGTGTAAGTCCCAGAATGTGACCTGGTATCGGCCCTTGCAGTCCTTATACAGCAGGGCTGGAGTGTGAGAGGAAGAAGCACTACAATGAGTCAACTAGTACATGAGCATACTGATAGGAGGAGAGTGCAGAGTGACAGAGGGATGAGCTCATTACTGCGCTGCTTCTCCTTTCACTGCCCAATCACAGGCTGGGGGTGGGTCTAGGATGGCCTATGTTTTACAGGAAGTTGCTGGCTATCAGACGGAGGACATCTAGTGGCCAAAAACTGTCCTGAAGAGGAAAATGTCCACATTGAGGGTAAATGTTGCAGCAAAAGCTGGTTTTGTTATTTATTCTTTTAATGGACTATTCATTTTTATTTTGCTATTTTTGGCTGGGAGTTCTACTTTAATGGAGCTGGCCAAATATATAAAGCAAGGCACACGCAGTCAGATTTTTACTTGACAAAGGGAATGAAATTTACCGATGGCTGGGAAGTGTGAGGTTCCCACAATGTCATTTGATTATACAATGCTCTGCATAAATGACTACACCTCTTCTCTTTTAAAAAGTAAGATTTTAAATCAGTATCCCAATGAAGACAAGAATCATTTCCAAACTTTGACATAACTGAGTTTTATAGAACATTTGTTTAGCTCATGACATGAAAGGAAGGTTAATAATTGAACTTGGATCACAAAATCTTCAGTTTTACTCAGATTAGTTGATACAAAAATGAATCCCCCCCCCCCCCCACACACAACAAAAACTCCTCCTTCTAGTATTTTGTATGACCTCCATGATTTGTAAGGACGGCACCAAGTCTTCTAGGCTTGGAAGGAACAAGTTGGTGACATATTGCAACATCGATCTTTTTCCATTCTTCAAGAATGACCTCTGTTAGAGCCTGCATGCTGGATGGAGAGTGATGCTCAACTTGTCTCATCTCCCCATAGATGTTCGATTGGGTTCAGATCAGGAGACATACTTGGCCACTGAATCACTTTCACCCGGTTCTTCTTCAGAAATGCAACAGTGGCCTTAGATGTGTGTTTTGGATCGTTGTCATGTTGGAAAAGCGCACGATGACCAAGGGCACGGAGTGATGGTAGCTCTGTACTGTGTGAGGGATCAGTATTGTGATGGGTCTCCGTACTTTGTGAAGGGTTCTATATTGGAGAGGGAGCTTGTATTCCAGGGGGGGCTCTGTACTGCGTGGGCAGGTCTGTACCATGGGAGGGTCCTTGTACTGTGAAGAGTTTGTATTGTGGGCAGGCTGTGCTGTTAAGGGGCCCTGTACATTGGGGGCACTCTGTACTGTGTGAGGGATCTGTATTGTGATGGGTCTCTGTACCTTGTGGAGGGCTCTATATTGTGGAGGGAGCTTTGTACTGTGGGGGGGCTCTGTACTGTGGGGGGTTTCTACTGTGGGCGGGTTGTGCTATTAAAGGGCCCTGTACTTTGGGGGTGCTCTGCACTGTGTGAGGGATCTGTATTGTGATGGGTCTCTGTACCTTGTGGAGGGCTCTATATTGTGGAGGGAGCTTTGTACTGTGGGGGGGGGGGCTCTGTACTGTGGGGGGTTTCTACTGTGGGCAGGCTGTGCTATTAAGGGGCCCTGTACTTTGGGGGTGCTCTGTACTGTGTGAGGGATCTGTATTGTGATGGGTCTCTGTACCTTGTGGAGGGCTCTATATTGTGGAGGGAGCTTTGTACTGTGGGGGGGTGGGGGCTCTGTACTGTGGGGGGTTTCTACTGTGGGCAGGCTGTGCTATTAAGGGGCCCTGTACTTTGGGGGGTGCTCTGTACTGTGTGAGGGATCTGTATTGTGATGGGTCTCTGTACCTTGTGGAGGGCTCTATATTGTGGAGGGAGCTTTGTACTGTGGGGGGGGGGGGGAGGGGCTCTGTACTGTGAGGGGTTTGTACTGTGGGCAGGCTGTGCTATTAAAGGGCCCTGTACTTTGGGGGTGCTCTGTATTGTGTGAGGGATCTGTATTGTGATGGGTCTCTGTACCTTGTGGAGGGCTCTATATTGTGGAGGGAGCTTTGTACTGTGGGGGGGCTCTGTACTGTGAGGGGTTTGTACTGTGGGCAGGCTGTGCTGTTAAGGGGCCCTGTACTTTGGGGGCACTCTGTACTGTATGAGGGATCTGTGTTGTGATGGGTCTCCGTACCTTGTGGAGGGCTCTACATAGTGGAGAGAGCTTTGTACTGTGGGGGGGGGGGGGGGGGGGGCTCTGTACTGTGGGGGTTTCTACTGTGGGCAGGCTGTGCTATTAAGGGGCCCTGTACTTTGGGGGTGCTCTGTACTGTGTGAGGGATCTGTATTGTGATGGGTCTCTGTACCTTGTGGAGGGCTCTATATTGTGGAGGGAGCTTTGTACTGTGAGCAGGTCTGTACTGTGGGAGGGTCCCTGTACTGTGTGGAAGCTCAGTTCTGTTTTGGGGGGTCTATACTGGGTGTTAAAGAATCTGAAAATGACATTTGAAAGTACGTTAATATTTTTAAGAATATATGAGATACTAGAATTAGGTTTAAATGTTAATAAAATTTTTTGTTGCTTTTCCACAGCTGTCAACATGTCTAACTCAAATAACGGAGACACCAAGGCCCAGTGCTTGCCCCGTAATGGGCTGGTGAAGATCCCTGGTCCCACCAATGGCCTAGGCTCTGCCAGCATCACCAAAGGAACACCAGCCGTCAAGAACCGAATTTGCCAGCCTGCCTCAGTGCCATCCATTTTAAGTCAAGCCTTCCCCAAGCACACAGAGCATGTCAATCCTTCAGTGTTACCCATTTTGCCACCACCTCCGACCCACAGCATCCCGCTGGGTCTCAGCCCTGGAGAAGAAAACCCTCCCATTCCTTGTGGCCTCTCCATGGACAGGGTTCAGAGCCAGGGCATGGACTGTCACCTGGCCCTTGATGAAAAGATCCTCAACCGGCTCTTCTGTTTCTTCTCAGCCTGTGAGAAATGTGTTCTTGCACAGGTCTGCAAGACGTGGAGGCGGGTTCTGTACCAGCCGAAGTTCTGGGTTGGACTGACCCCCGTTCTGCATGCCAAGGAACTTTACAACATGCTGCCCTCGGGGGAGAAGGAATTTGTCAGTCTGCAGGGGTTTGCGGTGCGTGGGTTTGACTCATTCTGTTTGGTTGGGGTTTCAGACCTGGACATCTGTGAGTTCATTGACAACTATCCCCTGTCCAAGAAAGGGGTCAAGTCTATAAGTCTGAAGAGGTCGACAATCACCGACGCTGGCTTGGAGGTAAGGAACCCATTACAGAATATGGCATGTTCATTTCATGAGAATCAGAAATTTAAGGACATTACCAAAAATCTGAAGGAGTCCACCATGTATGGTTATTTTCTTTGGTCAACAGGTCATTGGTAAACGTTCATTGCTCACTAACTGGTCCTTAGCTTTAAGCTGTCTGTTCAGTCATGATTGCAATGGTTGGATAAATAGACACAGCTTGCTTTTCACTAACTCCCTTTTAAAGCAGGGCACCTAAACCGGACAGAGATCCAATAGACATTCTCAACCAGGGTTTGATGGAATCGTAAAGTTCCCTCAGAGGTTACTAGGGGTTCCTTGACCTGTTGTTGATTGTTCTCCCATTTGATGATGTCTCCATAGTTCCTGGGCCAACACCTCTTGAAAAAGTCAGCAGCATGACTGACTTTTAGCTTAAAATATCATTGGTGTCATGCTGCTGGCTTTGCCAGGTGGTGTCGGCCCAGGAACTATGGAGACACCATAAGAGGACAGTCAACCAGTAGGAAGAATGCAACCCTTACATGCTGGTCAGGTAAGAGACATTTTTCCCAATGACCCCCAATAAACTGTTTTTTAGTCAGGGTTCCTCGAGACCTGAAAATTATTTTAGGGGGTTAAAAGGTTTAGAAAAGCTGGATTAAAGTATATCTAAAGACTTTTCCATCCTGAGGTTCTGAGGAAGACAAGCTTGTGCCTTCTCAAAATGTCAAATTTAATCTCCACTGTGCCTTCACCTCTCAAGACCCATGAGTGCAGCTTTCTCTTTTGGAGTATAAGACTTTTCCATAATGTAGGAAATGGTAAAAACCTTTGTCAAGCCTTTTTTGTGGTTTGAGCCCCAATGAGAAGGTTTTCTTGGACTTCCTTGTGAAATTGACAAATACGTGTATATTTATTGGTTTGTGTGAACTTTATAGCGTGTACAATCTATGGTATATATTCTGGAAGTTACACAGCTGTATACGCTATACTTGTAATGGCAGTGATCAGCAACTTACAGTGTGACTGTGATAGTGTTGTGGGCAATCTGGCGCTAACAGACACTGCCTGGGAGGGACACTAACTGACTAACTGGCACTGATGTTGCTAGTGCTAATACAGTGATCAGATACAATGTACTCTGTACTAAGGGGCAATCAAGGGCTTACCTGTGTGCCTAACAACTGTAATGTGTGTAATATGTGCTGCTTTTACTTACAAATCTGGCTGCTTTTTCTCCCTGCTTTGCAGAGAGAAGAAACAGCCAGATTGCTGTTCTGCTTACACAGAGTTCTGTGCAGGGGCGGACTGACCATTTGGAAACTTGGGCACTGCCCGAGGGCCCGGGGTCATTAGGGGGCCCCATGAGATGCCCCTGGTACCTTTTTCATAGGCTTTTTTGAGTTTGGGCAAAGACACAGGGGCCCCATGATCCCCTATTGCCCGGGTGCCCCATGAGTTGCCAGTCCGCTCCTGGTTCTGTGTGTTTGTAACACAGCCGATCAACAGGTTTCAACCAAAACCATTGGCTGAAACCTGCTGACAAACTCATGCTGTGTCCAGCTGCAGCACGAGTCAGCAGGGGGTGCTCGCCTGCGCACCCCAAACCTCAAAGAAATCCGGCAACGTACATTCATGTTGCCAAGCCTGCACCTGCCGCCCCCTTGCAATGTACTGTGAGTGGGCACCAAGTGGTTAACAACAACCCTAACCCTTCAGGGATAAAGTTGACCAAAGGGGCAATCACATGGCTTTGTTTCTAAACAAAGGATTAGGTTTTCCTTTAGGGTTAAGCTGGCCATAGACTTGTACACGCAGCGATTTGAAAAGCAGTTTCGGCACTACTTTTGCCAATTTCTGGTGCGACTTTCATTGACATCTGGGCATGAAGTTGCACAGATGGCTTACAAGTTGCACCTGAAGATGCACTGACATGTGACTTTGAAATTGTGCGACTTCACTTGATTTCAAAATCATATTTGGTGTGAACCAAAGCTTAACACTTTGAACACCTGATCTGCTGCATGCTGGCAGGGGATAGCTTTTTTTCTACTAAGGCTGTGGCTGCCTTCTAAAGAAAACCAACTGTAAGATTTTGAACACTTTCGCAAGCTTCATGCTGACAGGGGATTGCCTTTTCTGGTCAGGTTGTGGCTGCTTCTAAAGAAAACCAACCGTAAGGCTTTGAACACTTTCTCAAGCTTCATGCTGGCAGGGGATAGCCTTTATATTCAGGTTGTGGCTGCTTCTATAGAAAACCAACTGTAAGGCTTTGAACACTCTCTCAAGCTTCATGCTGGCAGGGGATAGCCTTTTCTACTTAGGTTGTGGCTTCTTCTATAAATTGTGCTATATAAATCCTGTATAATAATAATAATAAATAATAATAATAATAAAACAGCTGTAAGGCTTTGAACACTTTCTCAAGCTTCAGGCTGGCAGGGGATCACCTTTATATTCAGGTTGTGGCTGCTTCTATAGAAAACCAACTGTAAGATTTTGAACACTCTCTCAAGCTTCATGCTGGCAGGGTATAGCCTTTTCTGGTCAGGTTGTGGCTGTTCCTAAACAAAACCAACTGTAAGGCTTTGAACACTTTCTCAAGCTTTATGCTGGCAGGGGATCACCTTTATATTCAGGTTGTGGCTGCTTCTATAGAAAACCAACTGTAAGGCTTTGAACACTTTCTCAAGCTTGATGCTGGCAGGGGATAGCCTTTTCTATTCAGGTTGTAACAGCTTCTATAGAAAACCAACTGTAAGGCTTTGAACACCTGCTCTACAGCATGCTGGAAGGTGAGAGGTTTTTCTAGTCAGGTTGTGGCTGCTTCTAAAGAAGACCAACTGTAAGGCTTTGAACATTTTCTCAAGCTTCATGCTGGCAAGGGATAGCTTTTTCTACTTAGGTTGTGGCTGCTTCTAAAAAAAACAACTGCAAGGCTTTAAACACTTTCTCAAGCTTCATGCTGGCAGGGGATAGCATTTTTCTATTCAGGTTGTGGCTGCTTCTATAGAAAACCAACTGTAAGGCTTTGAACATTTTCTCAAGCTTCATGCTGGCAGGGGATAGACTTTTCTACCTAGGTTGTGGCTGCTTCTATAGAAAACCAACTGTAAGCCTTTGAATACCTGCTCTACTGCATGATGGCAGGTGAAAGGCTTTTCTACTCAGGTTGTGGCTGCCTTCTAAAGCAAACTGTAAGCCTGTGATTACCTTCAGGTTCGATTAATCTGGAATGTATTATCTGAATTAAACTGAACATCCAGCAGGTCTTTAACTGTGAATGTGTCTTTGTTTCCCACCAGGTGATGCTGGAGCAGATGCAGGGCGTCGTACGATTAGAGCTCTCGGGATGTAACGATTTCACGGAAGCTGGCTTGTGGTCCAGCTTACACGGACGCATCACCTCCCTGAGCGTTAGTGACTGCATCAACGTGGCGGACGATGCGGTGGCGGCAATCTCCCAGCTCCTCCCCAATCTGGGCGAGCTCAACCTCCAGGCTTACCACGTAACGGACACCGCCTTGGCTTACTTTACTGCCAAACAGGGCCGGGCCACGCACACGCTGCGCCTTCACTCCTGCTGGGAGATCACCAACCACGGCGTAGTCAACGTGGTCCACAGCCTGCCCAACCTCACCGTCCTCAGCCTCTCCGGCTGCTCCAAAGTGACCGACGACGGGGGTGGAGCTGGTGGCCGAGAACCTGAGACGGCTCCGAGGACTGGACCTGTCGTGGTGCCCCAGGCTGACGGACACGGCACTGGAGTACATCGCCTGCGACCTGCACAAGCTGGAGGAACTGGTCCTCGACAGGTAGGTGTGGAAGGTCACAGGATGGCCATGAAAGTTACTTGTCACCCCAATAATCTAAATCTGGTGGGAGGCAGAAGTGAGCTCCATACTTTGTATCTTACAGTGTTACTAAACCCACAACAGTACAATCAGTCTGTAAATGCAGTATAGCGTGCTTGTTATACTCACTGTGGAACCTAAGGGGTTAATCCTCTGCATTGTGTAAAAAGGCTGTTTGATCCTGTCTTCTCTGATCCTCCCCTTCTACTGTCCCCAATCCATCTGCTGATAGAACAGAGCCTTGGGGCAAGCTGCACATGCTCAGTTTGGTGTGTATTGCTAGAGAGATTTATTTTTTTCTTGGAAGAGTGCATGTGATCAGCACAGGACCAATCAGCGCTGCGCAGACAGAGGGTCAGGGGTTCTGCATACACAGGTGTCCTCTGCCAGTCACTCAGAACATACTGAACCCACCAGATCTACAGGACAGCCAGGCAACTAGCATTTTCAACAAGACAGGTGAACAGTGGCAGTTCCCATACCTCATTTAAAGTGCACCTGTTAGGAGAAAAACACAGGGGCTGCTCTTGTTTGCACTCTCCTGAAAATGCTTTTTGCCTGGCTTTGTCTGGTTTCATACAGTCCTGCAGCACCGACCGGGAAGCTGGTGGCAGCTGATGGAGGTCAGAGAGAAGCCAGGACGGCTCACCTTTATTCTTGTGACTCACAAAGTCTCATCAGCAGCTGCTCTGGCAGGAAAGTCGTCCCCGGGACTGGAAGGTATGACTTGTCCGGGACAATGACTCCTCTGTGTTGTCCTTTCCGCAGGTGTGTCCGGATCACAGATACAGGACTGAGCTACCTGTCCACCATGACGTCACTCCGCAGCCTGTACCTCCGCTGGTGCTGCCAGGTGAGACAAGGGGCACAAGAGAGATATCTGAGAGATGGATGGATGGATGAAGGAAGGGATGGGGAGGATGGATGGATGGATAGCTGGAGCAGAAAGAAGAAAGGAGGAATGGAAGGATGGATGGAAAGAGAGAGGGATGAATGGAGGGATAGATGGAGTGAAGGAGGGAGAGACAAATTGGAAGGATGGATGGAGGAAGAGAGGGAGAATGGATGGATGGATGGAAAGGGAAGTATGAAAAGGATGGATGGATGAAGGGAAGTATGGATGGATAATGGAATGAGGGAGGGAAAGATTGGATGGATGGATAAATAGATGGAGAGGATGGATGGATGAAGAGGATAGAATGGTAGATGAAGAGAGAGATGGATGGAAGAAGGGAAGGAGAGGTTGGATGGATTGGATGAAGGGAGGGATGGATTGAGAGGAGGAAGGGAGGATAGATGGATGGGTGATTGTATAGAGAAAGGGATGGATGGATGGATGGATGGATGGATAGATTGGATGAAGGGAGGGATGGATTGAGAGGATGGATGGATGAAAGGAGGGATGGATAGAGGAAGGGAGGGAGAGGATGGAGGGAGGGAAAGATGGATGGATAGATGGAATGAGGGAGGGAAAGACTGGATGGATGGAGAGGATGGATGGATGAAAGGAGGGATGGATGGATGAATGAATGAATAGTGGAAGGGAAGAGAGAGATGGATGGAATGAATGAGGAGAGAAATATTGGATGGATGGATGGAATGAGGGAGATGGAAAGGATGAATGGATGAATAAATGGGTGGAGGAAGGGAGGGAGAACATGGATGGATGGATTGATGGAAAGAGGTAGGGATGGATGGAGCGAAGGAGGGAGATATTGGATGGATGGAGGAAGAGAGGGAAGATGGAGAGGGTGAATGGATGGAGAGAAGTAGATAGGGATGGTGGATGGATGAAATGGATAGAGGACAGGAGGGGATGGATGAATGGATAGAGGACAGGAGGGGATGGATGAACGGAGGATAGATGGAATGATGGAGGAAAAGATTGGATGGATAAATGGATGGAAAGGATGGATGGATAGATGGCTGGAGGGAGGGAGGGATGGAGAGGATGGATGGATGAAAGGAGGGGATGGATGGACGAATGGATAGAAGGAGGAAGAGAATGGATGGATAGAAAGAGGAAAGGATGGATGGATAGATGGAATGAGGGAAGGAAAGTTTGGATGGATGAAGGGAGGGATGGAAAGGATGGATGGGGTGAAAGGAGGGATGGATGAACGAATAGAAAAAGGAAGGGAGAGGATAGATGGAGAGAAGTAGAAATGGATGGCGGATGGATGAATTGGGTAGAGGAAAGGAGGGGAATGGATGGATGGAATGAGGGAGGGAAAGATTGGATAGATGGATAAATGGATGGAGGGATGAGATGGATGGATGAAAGGAGGGATGGATGGATGAATGAATGGATAGAGGAGGGGAGGGAGAGGGATATGGATGAATGGATGGATGGAATGAGGGAGGGAAAGATTGGATGGATGGATGGATGGATGGAAGAAGAGAGGGAAGGTTGGAGAGGATGGATGGAGAGGAGTAGACTGGGATGGTGGATGGACGAATTGATAGAGGAAAGAAGGGAAAGGATGGGTGGAGGTATTGATAGATGAGGGAGGGAAAGGATGGATGGATAGAGGGAGGAAGGGAGAAATTGGAGGGGTGGATCGATCGATGGGGATGGAAGAGAAGATGGATAGATGGAAAGAAGGAAAAACGGAAAGAGGGAAAAATGGATAGATGGAATGAAGGGAGGCAAAGATTGGATGGATGGATGGAGATATATTGGATGGATCAATGGATGCATGGAGGGATGGAAAGAGGGAAGAAAGGAATTATGATGGATGAAAGGGTGGATGGAAATAGACAGGGATGGTGGATGGATGAATGGATAGAAGAAAGGAGGGATGGATGAATGGATAGATGGAATGAGAGAGGCAAAGATTGGATGGATGGATGGATGGATGGATGGATAAATGGATGTAGGGAGGGATGGAGAGGGTGGATGGATGGATGGATGGATGAAGGGAAGGGATGGAGGGATAGATGCAATGAATGAGGGAAATATTGAATGGTGGAGGGGGGTATTGGATGGATCAATGGATGCATGGAGGGATGGAAAGAGGGAAGGAGGACTGGATGGATGAGGGAGGGATGGGATGGATGGAGCAAAGGAGGGAGACAGTGGATAGTGAGAAGTAGACAGGGATGGTGGATGGATGAATGGATAGAGGAAAGGAGGAAAAGCATGGATGGATGGACAGACAGAGGGATGGATGGATGGATGGATGGAAAAAGGGAAAGATGGATGGAATGATGTTATGAGGGAGGGAAAGATTGGATGGATGGATGGACGGATGGGGGGATGGATGGAGAGGATGGATGGACGGACGAAGGGAGGGATGCAGAGGATGGATGAAAAGAAGGGTATGGATGGTGGATGGATGGATGGATGGATGAAAGGAGGGATGGATGAATGGATAGAGGAAGGGAAGGGGGGGGATGGATGGATGGAAAGAGGGAAAGATGGATGGATAGATGGAATGAGGGAGGGAAAGATTGGATGGATGAAGGGATGGATGGATGAAGAAGAGGATGGATGGATGATGAGGAGGGATAGATAGATGGATGGGGGAGGTATGGAGAGGATGGATGGATGGATGATGAATTAATGAAATAGAGGAAGGGAGGGAGAGGATGGATGGAATGAGGAAGGGAAAGATTGGATGGATGGATGAATGGATGGAGGGGGGTATTGGATGTATCAATGGAAAGAAGAGGGAAGGAGGGAGGAAAGGAGGGATGGATGGATGGAAGAGAGAGGGATGGATGGAGGGGAAGGGCTGGATGGATGAGGGAGGGGTGGATGGAACAAAGGAGGGAGAGATTGGATGCAAGGATGGATGCTGAGAAGTAGGCAAGATGATGGAAGGATGGATGAATGGAAAGAGGAAAGGAGGAAAAGGATGGATGGATAGATTGGATGAAGAAGGAAGGATGGATTGAGATGGGATGAATGAATGGATGATGAAGGGAGGGAGAAGGTGGATGAATGGATGGAATAAGGGAGGGAAAGGATGGATGGATGGAATGAGGAGGGAAAGATTATGATGGATGGATGGATGGATGGATGAAGATAGGGAAGGTTGGAGAGGAGTAGACTGGATAAAAGATGGTGGACGGATGAATTGAATTGATAGAGGAAAGGAGGAAAGGATGGATGGAGAAGAAGAAAGATGGATAGATGGAGGATGAGGGAGGGAAAGATTGGATGGAGGGAGGGAGGGGAAAGATTGAATGGATGGGATGGATAGACGGATGGATGGAGGAAGAGAGGGAAGGATGGGATGGAGGATGAGAAGAAATGATGATGGATGGATGGATGGATGATAGATGGATGGATGGAGGAAGAGAGAGAAGGATGGATGGAGAGTAGAAATGGATGGATGGGTAGAAGGAAAGGAGGGGAATGATGATGGATGGATAGAGGGAAGAATGAGGGAGGGAAAGAAGGATGGATGAAGGGAGGGAGGGAAAGATTGAATGGATGGATGAAGATGGATAGACGGATGGATGGAGGGATAGAGAGGGAAGGATGGATGGATGAAAATGGAGATGGATGATGGATGGATTGATGGATGGGATGGAGGAAGAGAGGGAAGGATGGATGAAGAGTAGAAATGGATGGATGGGTAGAGGAAAAGAGGGGAATGATGGATGGATGGATAGAGGGAATGAGGAGGGAAAGATGAATGAGGGATGGAGGGAAGAAGAAAAAGATTGAATGGATGGATGGATGGATAGACGGATGGATGGAGGTAGAGAGGGAAGGATGGATGGAGAGTAGAAATGGATGGAATGGATGGATGGATGGAGGAAGAGAGGGGAAGGATGGATGGAGAGTAGAAATGGATGGAATGATGTAGAGGAAAAGGAGGGGAATGGATGGATGGATAGAGGGAATGAGGGAGGGAAAGATTGGATAGATGGATAAATGGAATAAAGGGAGGTATGGGATGGGATGGATGAAAGGAGGGATGGATGGATGGATAGAGGAAGGGAGGGAGAGAATGGATGGATGGATAGATGGAATGAGGGAGGGAAAGATTGGAGGGATGGATGGATGAAGCAAGGGATGGAGAGGATGGATAGATGAAAGGATAGAGGAAGGGAGGGAGAGGATGGATCAGGGGCGGACTGACAATTCATGGGGCCCCCGGGCAATGGGGGATCATGGGGCCCCTGTTGTCCTTGCCCAAACTCAAAAAAGCCTATGAAATGGATGGAAGGAAGATGGATGGAAAGGAGGATGGATGGATGGATGGAAGAAGATGGATGGATGGAAGGAGGATGGATGGATGGATGGAAGGAAGATGGATGGATGGATGGAAGGAAGATGGATGGATGGATGGAAGGAAGGAAGATGGATGGAAGGAAGATGGATGGATGGAAGGAAGGAAGATGGATGGATGGATGGAAGGAAGGAAGATGGATGGAAGGAAGATGGATGGATGGAAGATGGATGGATGGAAGGAAGGAAGATGGATGGATGGATGGAAGGAAGATGGATTTGGATATTCTTAAAAAGCTATTTAAAATCCTGAATGATTCCCTGCTTGCTGTGTTCGCAGGTGCAGGATTTCGGATTGAAGCATTTATTGGGTATGAAGAGTTTACGCCTCTTATCTCTGGCTGGTGAGCAGAATCCATGTCTGTCTGTACATATATATTGTACATTCACATCAGTCCCTAACCCTCAAGGGGTGTACAATCTAAGGTCCCTAACCCTCAAGGGGTGTACAATCTAAGGTCCCTAACCCTCAAGGGGGTGTACAATCTAAGGTCCCTAACCCTCAAGGGGTGTACAATCTAAGGTCCCTAACCCTCAAGGGGTGTACAATATAAGGTCCCTAACTCACATTCATACATACACATACTAGGGACAATTTAGACAGGAGCCATTCACCTACCAGCATGTCTTTGGAGTGTGGGAGGAAACCGGAGTACCCGGAGGAAATCCACGCAGGCACAGGGAGAACATGCAAACTCCAAGCAGGTGGTGCCGTGGTTGAGATTCAAACCAACAACCTTAGTGTTGCTAGGTGGAAGTGCTATCCACTTAGCCACTGTGCTGCCCACATGTGTATGTGGACTCCCTCCATGTGTCTGTAGGTCTGTATTAGATCATGTACACCTAGACTCCCTCCATGTGTCTGTCGGTCTATATCAGATCATGTACATGTGGACTCCCTCCATGTGTCTGTAGGTCTTTATTAGATCATGTACACGTGGACTCCCTCCATGTGTCTGTAGGTCTTTATTAGATCATGTACACCTGGACTCCCTCCATGTGTCTGTAGGTCTGTATTAGATCATGTTCATGTGAACTCCCTCCATGTGTCTGTAAGTCTTTATTAGATCATGTACACGTGGACTCCCTCCATGTGTCTGTAGGTTTGTATTAGATTATGTACATGTGGACTCCCTCCATGTGTCTGTAGGTGTGTATTAGATCATGTACATGTGGACTCCCTCCATGTATCTGTAGGTCTTTATTAGATCATGTACACTTGGACTCCCTCCATGTATCTGTAGGTCTTTATTAGATCATGTACACTTGGACTCCCTCCATGTGTCTGTAGGTCTATATCAGATCATGTACATGTGGACTCCCTCCATGTGTCTGTAGGTCTGTATTAGATCATGTACACCTGGACTCCCTCCATGTGTCTGTAGGTCTGTATTAGATCATGTTCATGTGAACTCCCTCCATGTGTCTGTAAGTCTTTATTAGATCATGTACACGTGGACTCCCTCCATGTGTCTGTAGGTTTGTATTAGATCATGTACATGTGGACTCCCTCCATGTGTCTGTAGGTGTGTATTAGATCATGTACATGTGGACTCCCTCCATGTATCTGTAGGTCTTTATTAGATCATGTACACTTGGACTCCCTCCATGTATCTGTAGGTCTTTATTAGATCATGTACACTTGGACTCCCTCCATGTGTCTGTAGGTGTGTATTAGATCATGTACACTTGGACTCCCTCCATGTATCTGTTGGTCTTTATTAGATCATGTACACTTGGACTCCCTCCATGTGTCTGTAGGTGTGTATTAGATCATGGGTTGAATTCCCATCAAGCGTGGGTAAATCTCCCATCATCCATTACTCTTTGAGCTTGGTCTGACTCATTTTAGAGACAGGCCTAGACTTGGACAGTTCTAGGAGCCATGCTGAGGCATTAAATACTTTGCTGTTGTTTCAGGTTGCCCATTGCTGACAACCACTGGCCTTTCGGGCCTTGTTCAGCTACAGGATCTGGAAGAACTGGAACTCACCAACTGCCCGGGTGCCACACCTGAACTCTTCAAGTACTTCTCCCAGCACCTGCCCCGCTGTGTTGTGATCGAATAAAACGCAGGAGCTGACCTTTAGAACCGTATCCTCCGAACCATTCCCAGCACTGACCATCTGATCGGAGACTTTGGCAGTAGGGGTGGTGGGCTGACACAGCCGAACCATCGAATTGTTGACAAGCAAAAGGAGAACAAGATCCTGGGAGACACTTTACGCTCCGGTTTGTGAAGACCTCATTCCATGTTCCGAAGAAAAAAAAAGGGTTGTATATTTCCCACGCCTCATCTCTTGTCTTCTCTGTCGTGGACTGTTATGAAACTCACAAGTAGAGCCGGCTCCCATCTGATTAAAAAAAAAAAAACCCCATCAGCGTACTCTACAAGGATTCTATGGTGTGAGGTTGAGTCCAGCCCATTGTGGAATGTTGCTTCGAGTTCAGTGGTGGTCCTTCATGTTTTGGTTCCTAATGCTTCAGAAGATTATTATCTTAGTCTGTTCCAGAGCATCCATTGATTCTGGTTTTTGTTGATGTCCTAAGTTTGGAGCCATCACAGCTGACAAGATTGACAGAAGAACAAAGAAATCTACGAAGAATTCTTCTCGAGAGGCACTGGCATCTATGGATGTGCTTCTTAGAAAGTTAGAAGGTTCAAAGAAGGTTCTGCATGGCTGTAGAAAAAGTCTCAATGCTATCTTTATGGCTTGTATCGAGATGGAGGGATTAAGTCGATTCATAGAAACCCATCCTATAACACAGTCCCGTTTCGACTGTTTTTACACCTTGTCGACCTGTTCTTTCTATGGTGTAAACATTTCAGGCTTTTGACCATTGCTTCTTCTAGCTCAGAATTTCTATATTTTTTCCTATAGGCGTAAACCTCACAATAGCTTTCTTGGCATGAGCGCAGTCATGCCGTTTATAAGGTGGTGGAAGCCAACTTGAGAACGCTGTTTTGGCCAACATGAGGAAGGATGAAGAAATGCATTGTTGCATCACGTTCAGCTACAGGTTACCTACCCATGACACTGGTCAGTCATGAGGTGCCTTGGGTGGTCGTCCTTCGGTATATGGATCAAAAACGACGCCATCAAGTCCGAAACAAAGAGTAGGGTAGATTGAAAGACACGGTGGGACCATTGACCAGAACATCTTCTGGGTGGAAATCGCCTTGTACAAACCTTTTTGCTTCGACAGAGAGGATCCTTTCCTCTCGTGTACATCTTCCCGGCTTGCCCTAGTGCCTGTACATTACTGCTTGTGCTCACTTCACTGCTTTCACTGAGACCAGAAGATGGAGGACATTTGAATTGCATTACTTCCATCCATGGCCTGTGCCCTCAGCTTACCAGGGAGGAGCAGTGTGGTTTGTTTTTCTTTTTTTTTTATGGCGTTTGTGATTTTGACGCCTTTGTCCCAATTTCACAGGAACTGTGAGATGTCACACAACGATGTGATAGTTTAAAGGATGCTTCAGGGGTAAAAGGCCATCTCCAACCAAATCTGATATGTCAGTTTTGTGTAGTTGCTGGCAAGGCTTATTCTATCTCTGAGGGACTCCAATGTTGAGATATTTTTCCAACGAAAAGCAACCATTGCAAAGCCAAATAATGACATGATGTGCCCACGGTGGATTCTCAATAATAAAAGAACAAACGATAATTGGTGGATTTAACTGTGAAAAAACTGACAAGTTTCTTGTGAGAAGGCATTGAGACATAAACAACCACGAGGGGAGGTCTCACTGTTGGAGTCTCCCGGAGATCTAAGACATGAGTGGACAACTCAGTGAACCAATGCCTACACAAAACTAAGAAGTCAGTTTTGGGTGATGGCCTTCAAGATACAATCAGATCATCCTTCATTGTCCCTTCTCGTGTACCTATTTCTGTCCATCTCTTCCAGAGGGTCTCCTAATCTACTGATCTTCTCCTCTCCCTTCCTCTCTCATGTAACATGATGAATCTCTATGTACGTGTCCCATGATCTCTGCCTTGCATGTTTCTTTCCTTTCGTCTCTTTTTCAACTCTTCCCACTTCTGGAGAGCACCGTCTTTGGAACAATCTTGTGCTGTTTTCTCACCATGCTTTAAATATAATAAAATATATCACTCTTCAAAGTTTTCATCCAGAGAAAAACAAGCAGTTGTATTTGCTTCAGTGTATTGTCTCTGTATTTTTTTTATTAAGTCTTCTCAACTCTAGGAACAACAGAAACATAGGTAGATATGGGAGTGTCGGTCAACAAAATGCCGTTATTCAGGCAAGGTGTAGTTAACCATTTTGAATTAGTGGTTGTATACAGTACCTCATATGAACAAAGCATATCCCTCTATAGTGTGTACTTGTCTCAATCCAGAGCTCTAGGTGTCTGTGACGGAGGTGTAGGCGGGACAGAACGCACACAAGGTTTTTATTGAGGGATTTGGGACACTTGATCGGGGCAACAAGGGTTAAGTCCCGGGCACACAACAGAGGGACAGTTCGGGCAGGTAATGGGTGATCCGGGCACACAACACGGGGGGCAGTTCAGGCAAAGATAATCAGGGCACACAGTAGGGGGCAGTGGAGGCAAAGAGAGTCCGGGCACAGCAGAGGGCAGTTCAGGCAGGCAAGGGGCAATCCAGGAACACAACAGAGGGGCTTGCAGGGATACTTAGCAGCAGGCGGGCTTGCAGGGACACTCTGCGGCAGGCAGGCTTGCAGGGACACTCGGCGGCAGGCAGGCTTGCAGGGACACTCGGCGGCAGGCAGGCTTGCAGGGACACTCGGCAGCAGGCGGCTTGCAGGGAAACTCGGCAGCAGGCGGCTTGCAGGGACACTCACGGTAGGCAGGCTTGCAGGGTCTGGCAGGGTCTTGGCTGTGGGGTCTGGCCGCAACTCAGACCCCTCACAGCACTCTGTCCCAAGCAGGGGATGAACTCACCATTTGGGTCCTGCTGCGGTCTTTTATCGCCGGAGCAGGACGCTTCCCGGTTGCAACGGCCAGCCCGGCGTCGGGTTTCCGGGGCAACAAGCCCCACCTCCTTACTCCGGCCACGCACAGGGACCGCGGCCTTTGTCTCTCGCGGGCGCAGAGCGCAGGAACCTCGAGGTCCTGCTGTGCCTGCCAAGACAAGGGGAGGGGGCGCGCGGAGACACCCAGGTGGCCTGCACGTGGGGTATCCACATGCAGGCACAGCGGGGTGGCCGACTCCTCTGCATCCGGCCGAGGAGAGGTGCAAACTGCACTGCAGGGAGCAGATCTCTGGCGCCCGGCGCACCACTTTGTGTGGGCTATGTGCGGGAGCAGGGACATGTAATGGGGAAGGGAGGGGGGAAGCGAGGGAGTGAGAGGGGGGACCGTGACAGTGTCATTTCTGTTACCCCATTCCTCTACTTTCTGAGTCACTTCTGACACGTTTTCCTGACAACAAGAGAAAAAAATATATATGGACTTTAAATGGATGTAGAGGCGAGAATACTGCAGATAAACAAGTACAACTTATATGGGAGGATTTGTTTAATCTCTGTGTATCACCAAGGTCAGTCACTTCACTGGGTGAATCTAAAGGTTTACAACCACTTTAATATCTAGAGAAGAGGTTCTCTGTGAACGCAAAGGAATATTGTGATTAGCCAATGAAGTGCCTGGTTTGATTGGACCATATTCTTTGAGGATTTGCATATATGATACTATAAGGTCAATATTTGGGGACACCTGACCTTCAACCGCCTTCTTTTACACTACGTTTCCACAAGATTCTTGAGGGTGTCTCTGGGAGTTTGTGACCACTTAGCCAAAAGACCATTTGTGGCCTCAGAAGACCTGACTCGCAATCTTCATTCACATTCATTCCAAAGGTGTTCAATGGGGTGTTCAGTATGGCTGAAACATAAAATTATGACATCACGGGGAGACAATTGTTTTCTTGGGCACAAAAATAGGCATTGGAAAGAAGCCTCCATAACCCACAAAAGCTATTTAAAGTCCATTGCATACATAAAAAAATACCCAAACCACCATAATTTGCCCATTCCTATGGACATTAAAACATTTAGGCAAAATGTCACCATTTCACTGAAATTTCCCACTTGTCTCCACAATTTTGGATAAATAAAAACTCTTAGCGGTAGACTTACTAAAACAAAGTGCAGCTATGTATGGTAGCCAAAAAGCCTCTAACGTCAACTTGTTCAATTAAGCTTTGGCAATAAAACCTGGAAGCTGATTGGTTTCCATGCAGAATTTCACCAGATTTTTTTTTTTTTGCTCATCCTTACCATAGAGGCTCTTACATTGTATTTGAGCATAGATTTGTTGATTGCACGCTCTAGAACAATCCATTCTTAACCAAGGTTTCATGAAACCCTAAAGTTCCTCCAGAGGTTTCCAGGGGTTCATTGAGCTGTAGCTGACTGCCTTCTGATTTGGGGATGTCGGCAAAGTTTCAGGTCCAATGCCAATTGGCAGAGCCAGCTCCAAGACACCAATGATCTACTTAGCTTTTTCGAAGGGTGGCATTCTGAACATCAATGTAAAAAGGCCATTCTTCCCACTGACCACCAATATAAGGAGCATTCTTCCCACTGATCACCAATGTAAGGGACATTCTTCCCACTGATCACCAATGTAAGGGGCATTCTTCCCACTGACCACCAATGTAAGGGACATTCTTCCCACTGACCACCAATGTAAGGGACATTCTTCCCACTGACCACCAATGTAAGGAGCATTCTTCCCACTGATCACCAATGTAAGGGACATTCTTCCCACTGATCACCAATGTAAGGGATGTCTTACCACTGATCACCAATGTAAGGAGCATTCTTCCCACCGACCTACAATGTAAGGAGCATTCTTCCCACTGATCACCAATGTAAGGGGCATTCTTCCCACTGATCACCAATGTAAGGGATGTCTTACCACTGATCACCAATGAAAGGAGCATTCTTCCCACTGACCACCAATGAAAGGAGCATTCTTCCCACTGGCCACCAAGGCAGGGGGCATTTTTCCCATTGGCCATCAGCGTAAGGGGTATTCTTTCCACTGATCATTAATGTAAAGTACATTTTT